GGGTGGCTGCTAGGTACGTGACATGAGCATGAACATCGTGCAACCTCTCTCCCCAAAGCAACTGGACGGTTTTGCTTTTTAAAAAGGAAGGCTATTTTACTTGTTGCTATTGAAAATATACACAGCTAAACACACATCAATTTAATATCTTCATGCATAGTTCCGTGGCATTGATCATGTCCTGCAAATCGTGCAACCATGCTCACCCTCCTTTTTCACATCGGCCCTCAACCACTAACATACACTCACTGTCAACTCAGGCTCCCATCTAACCTTTCAAGTTGCCGTGATCAATTTGACCTCATATAACCAAACACACTGCTATGGAGTTAACGCTGACAGGGTAGAACTGCACCTATGGCCTTCCAAGGCTCCTGGAAGTCGAAATTCCATAAGAATTTGAAATCCCAGTTTGTATTTCCTCCTTTTGATGGTGATTTTTCTTTTCCTTCCCCCTCAGCTTTATTGGCACTTCATCCAATTCAATAGTTCAGTGGTTTCGAGAAGAGCTATGCAAGCTTCACCACCATCCGCTTTAGAGCATTTTCATTTCCCCATACTCATTGTTATGCATGTCTTTTTTTTTCAATTTTGGCAAAAACACACACAACAAAACATTCTGCAATCAACCACCTCTGCGTGCACCACTCAGTGCCCTGATGATGCTCTTCGGGCTGCACAGCCACTGAGCGCCTTCTCGGATTATGGTTTTTCTCTAGAGTCTTGAGTAAACACGTCCAGTCGTGGTTACCAGCACCATGCCGGTCTTCTGATCTCCTGGCAAAGGAGGGGCTTGTTCATAAAGCAAGTAGTCATGCATTTCCCTTCGGCTACTTGGCTTTAGCGCGAGTTAAGCAAATAAACATTTCTGTCTCACGGCATAAAATCAGATCAGGCACAAATAGAACACCCGATTCTCAAGGCAAGAAGATGCTTGCATGCCCCGCCTCCATTTTCCTGACCACCTGCCGAGCCCTCACGGGGCATTAAAGATACAAACATTTGATCCGCGCAACAACTCTGTGAATTACAAGGACAAAATCACTGTACTGCCACCTTCCTACAACCAAGAGTATTGGGGCTCAGTGAGGTTGAATGCCTTCTCAGGTACACACAACTAGTAGGAGCCCTGGCTGTACAGGTCCCCTACTAGTTGCATCGAGGTTTTCTGATGTTAGCTTTGGTGCATGTTCCCATATTTCATGTCACGTACCCACCAGCCACCCTGCCAGTCATCATTCTGTGCCCTTAGCCACTCTCCCCAGAAGACTAAACACAACTGAGGAGGTGAGGGTCCTCTGTCTCTGCCCACTGTGCACGTCCATATGTTCGTTGCCAGGATTATGGGGTGAGCTGAGGATTTAGCTAGAAAAGATGCCTTTAGAGCAGTGGTTCTCAACCTTCCTAGTGCTGTGACCCTTTAATACAGTTCATCATGTTGTGGTGACCCCCCAACCATGAAATTATTTTCATTGCTACTTTATAACTGTAATTTTGCTACTGTGATGAATCGGGCAACCCCGTGAAAGGGCCGTTCGACCTCCAAAGGGGTCTCGACCCGCAGGTTGAGAACCGCTGTTTTAGAGTCTGTGGAAGGAAGCCTGCTTACAAAGACTTCTCAAAACATCTTTTGTGAGTTTCTTCTCTTCCCCAAGAAGAAGAAAAAACAAAAGTCCCTTAATTATTTTCTACTCTATGATTTTCTTAAGACCAGTAGCAGGTTGGCTGGTGTTTGAAAGTGTGCTTTAGTAAAGATAGTAATAATCATTAAGACTGACAATTACTTATCCAGACACTTTACAAGTGCAGGAAGCCCCTCTGCCCACAATGCTCAACAAATAGACCGCTCTGTCAAGACAGTCATTTCATGGTGGGTGGGACTCTCGAGGGGCTCGGTAAAAGACATAAGGTCTAATTAGGTTTTCCATGTCATGTTAGTTACTGCATAACCTTTATAACTAAAGCTTCCGAATTTTCTGGCTGCATTTATCCCACTATTTAAAAATCTGCCCCGACATCTACTTCATCTTTGTGAAAACACTGAAAGAAAATGGAGGTGGATCAGCACCTCGGACAGCTCCTAGCTACTGTGTTTTAGAAAGTCTCTCCCTTGAATAGACAAAGGTTCCTGGTGGTGTAGTGTAGTGGTTACAAGTTGGGCCGCTAACTACCAGGTCAGCAGTTCAAAACCATCAGCTGCCCCTTGGGAGAAAGATGGGGCTTTCTACTCCCTTGGAGGGCCATACATATGCCTTGGAAACCCATAGGGGCAGTTACACCCCTGTCCTATGGGGTCACTGTGAGTCGGCATTAACTCCAGGCGGGTGAGTTTGGCAAGATTATCTGATTGCCTTGGTCCCAGGATGGTGCTTAAACTTAAGACAATCCTGAGTCATTAATATGTCTTAGCTGCAGTATTATTTTGAGGGTGAATAATAAAGGAAAAGAAGGAAAAAATGTAAAGGCTTCTCAGTTACGAATAATACTATAGTTATTTAGGTTGTAATTAAATGTAGAAAGATGTTAAAAA